AAAAATAAAAATAAAAATAAAAATAAAAATAAAAATAAAAATAAAAATAAAAATAAAAATAAAAATAAAAATAAAAATAAAAATAAAAATAAAAATAAAAATAAAAATAAAAATAAAAATAAAAATAAAAATAAAAATAAAAATAAAAATAAAAATAAAAATAAAAATAAAAATAAAAATAAAAATAAAAATAAAAATAAAAATAAAAATAAAAATAAAAATAAAAATAAAAATAAAAATAAAAATAAAAATAAAAATAAAAATAAAAATAAAAATAAAAATAAAAATAAAAATAAAAATAAAAATAAAAATAAAAATAAAAATAAAAATAAAAATAAAAATAAAAATAAAAATAAAAATAAAAATAAAAATAAAAATAAAAATAAAAATAAAAATAAAAATAAAAATAAAAATAAAAATAAAAATAAAAATAAAAATAAAAATAAAAATAAAAATAAAAATAAAAATAAAAATAAAAATAAAAATAAAAATAAAAATAAAAATAAAAATAAAAATAAAAATCATTTATTTCGGACATCTAAGAGATCCATAAAATTAATTAATACCATACATCATTAACACTAGAAAGACCAAGGCAGTCAAATTGACCGCAAGGCAATTTCATTGTTAAATATTTTGCAAACTATGTTTTAGTTCCTTTCAATATTTTATGACTTTTCCTAATTTGCTATTCTTAGGCTTAATCTATATTTATAAAAAAATAAGTAAATGTTGTATTTGAGTTTCGATTACAAATACCTACTAAGACCGCGCACCGTCAGTGTGACGGTATACATATAAAGACAGCGATAAGAATAGTGAACAACGATCTCTTCAAACTAAAGTGGGTACTTTTGTTTTTATTTATGTTGGGTTGAATTCTGACTAATTTATTAGTACCTAACTTGTTTACATTTTATATTAGGCATTGGTTCCGTGCGCTGAGCAGTCGTGTGGCAAGTGACGGCACAGAAAGGACTTTTGGTTCTCCAAACGCCAGTGAAGAGGGACCTCGTAGCTAGGGCCAAAACGTAATCTCTGACAACTTTTTCACATCACTAAATTCGGCTAAAACACTATTGGTCGAAGACTAGTATTATTGGAACAATGCGGCGTGCAAGACGAGAACTGCCACTGATTTGTAGAGGTATTCATACTACAAGATATAAAACCTTCATAATGAAAACCGTTACCGATACAACCCTTACTGTCTATCAAGGAAAACCTGTAATACATGTTATTATTTTGAGTACTCTGTACCTCAACATAAATATAGGTGACTGACAAAAAAAGTTGCCTGAAACAATTGAATTTTACAATAGGTACAACAAAATTTAGTGTAGACATCAGCGATCAAATGGCACGCAAGTACACCGTAAGAGCTGGAAGTCGGGGATGGCTTGTCATGTATTTTACAATATATTTGATTTAGTAGGTATAAACTCGTGGATTCTTTATCAAAAAGTTACTAGGAATAAAAAATTCTCGTCATAATTTCATCATTCAACTACTGAGCGTACTACGTGAAGAGTATGTGAAAAAAATCCACTTCAACTATGTCACAGCATCAAGAAACTAATTCTAAAACAAGTGTACCATCTACTAAAAACAATAAGAGGCGATAATGTCAAATCAACAGTAATTGTAAAAAAAAATAAAACATGTGAAAACTGCATTATATGTAAAAAACCTGTTTGTGAAAAATGTAGAAAACAGTTTAAAAACTATTAGATACTTGCTCCAAATGTTACTCAATTTAATGCAAATACATTTATATTATTTTTATTTTATTTTAATGCAAAATATGCAATAATTTCATAAGTATTCTGACTTAATCTCTAGTACCGTCAAATTGACCGCTGCGGTCTTTGAAGGTATAGCATGAAGCCTGGCCCTTCTAGTGTTAAAAACCATTACCATCGCAGTTATACAAAACTTAGTCAAATATCATATTACATTAAAATCAGTCATCCTTAAACTTAAAAAGAAGATGTCAACACAGATTCAAAAGTTCCAACCAGCCAGAAATACAATTATTATTAAATTCAATTATTAAATAACTCTTCTCACAAATGACCTCCAGAGTGGGGATGAGAATCTATCCGCCACAGTCTCCAGGATTTTGTTCCGGCTGCCACGCAATCTGCAGATCAGGGATGCTGTCTTTTTGCGAATAACGGCGTGAAATCCATCAGTGCGATATAGTGCGAACATCCCCGATGCACTACAGAATCGGGGCAGCCCCAACATCATCCTGAAGACATTGTTATATTGGATGCGCAGGACATCCAGCGATCTTTTGGTGTGACGGACCCACAGACTTCCCGAGTAGAAGCTCTGACAATATGCCTTAAAAAGTATAGTCTTAACCTCGTCAGAGCAGCGAGAGAATCTGCGAGCCAGCATATTACCTCTGACCGCTAGAGCCCTGCGCTCCCTCTCAATATCTACATCAACCTCAAGGCCGTCGGAAAGGAAATGTCCCAGATATTTAAATTTAGTAACACGATTTACGCTCAAGCCATTTAGGGTAACACTAGGTGAATTATCGAGGCATCTACCACCGGCCCTGAAGATCATGTATTCACTCTTCTTTACATTGTACAGAAGACCATGTACATCCGCATAGTTCTCACACACCTCTAGCATCTCTCTGAGACCCCCCACCGTCGGGCTCAGCAGCACCATATCGTCCGCGTAGCTTATGTTGTTTACACGAACACCATCTATCGAGCAACCGACGCGCCTGCTGCTGAGCTCGACGATGAGGTCATTTATATATAGATTGAAGAGCTTGGGAGATGTCAAACCCCCCTGTCTCACCCCGCTCTCCAACCTATACGCTTCAGAAAGTGTATTTGCCCACCTTACATAATTTGTTTGGTTCCCATACCAAAATCTGAATATATCGAGCAAAGCCGCGGCGTACAGCCCTATCCCTCAACTTTCTCCAGAGCACATCGTAAGACACGAGATCAAAAGCCCTAGAGAGGTCAAGGAAACAAGCATAAACCGGAGTCCCGCGATCGGTATAGTATCGGACGGTATGCTTGAGACCCACTATTGCGCTTTCAGTCGATAGCCCGGGCCGAAAACCGAACTGAACCTGATATACTCATCCAAGTAGGAATCAAGCACACCGTCCAGCACCTTAGCGACTACAGTTGCGAGAGATATAGGGCGGTAGTTCCCCTTATCCGATACATCCCCAGTTCTGTTCTTCACAATAGGTACCACGATGGTTTTCATTAAGTCATGTGGTAAATATGAGTGATTAACGCATATTGCGAAAAACATGGCCAGGACCCTCGGTAGGTGAACCCCCGCATGCCGCAAATGCTCAACACCGAGTCCGTCATGTCCAGGAGATTTACCGCAAGCCATCTTCTTTAACACATGTCTCATTTGACCAGCAGTAATATGTATTACCTTCCCTACATCACATCCGGCATGAGAACCAGAGGACGACACTGATGGACCAAGCGGGGAGTGCACCTTAAAATGGTCCCTAAACATATTTGATATGAGCACCGGTTCGCTTATCCCATCCACACTAACAGGCAGGCTAGGCTTAATATCATGCTTATCTGTAGCTTTCCAAAATTTTTTAAAATCTTTTGCTGTTCTGTGTTTAGTCAGAATGTCCATTCTAAGTTGATCCTGATTATTCTGGCACCACTTTAGTCGTCCCTTAAAGATTTTACGTGACTCAAGCATTTCATGATAAATGACTCTCACTGTAGGCCGATTGCATGTTACCCATAATTTGAACTTCAGCCTGGCCGTTCGATGAGCTTCGCGAACAAGTTTATTCCAGCCGCATATGTGCCTGCGTTTGCTTTGTTTAGTGCCCCGCTCCCCGCTTGACCCCACAGCGGCGTCACTCAAAATACGAAAGATAAAAAGCAACGTCAGCGATATACACAAATGACGGCGTCAGAAACGCCAGAAGAACATGAAGCCACTTTGCAGGGACTACGTATAGAGGAGTTGGACTGCAATAAACTAACCGGCAAGAAACCTTGCAATAATGAAGCTCTAAATGAATTAAACAGAATGCGAAATAAAAACTAAAAACTAGAAAATAAAAATAGGTAAAAAAACTTTTTAAGTTAAACGGTTTTATGTTAAACATACATTGCAATGTTAAAGATAAATGTACTAAAAACCAAAAAATAATAAAATAGATACAGTCGTGGGAATTATAAACATATGCATAGACTAGACTAAAATAAAACCGTGGGGCACGTCAATTGTCTACATATTATCGACTAAATGTGCGATAGAAGAATCGTTTAATTCGTCGTTAGGCAGTTGGCCCGCAGACGGTGAGGAAATTACTTACTATTTTCTTGCTCATGGAAATTCTAATAGTTATACACTCCATGTAAATCAAAGAGATGTTTCAACTAGTTTATCGTTGGACATTTACACTGCTGGCTGGCGAGGAATCATTTCACAGCTCGTAGTTTGTCTTTAATCGACAAAACATAAAGTAAAGCTAAAGCATAAAGCTCCCCAATATGAAACCCTAAAACTCGCTTATAATCGAGCTTGCTAGCTTGTATCCACATTCTAGCCCTACTTTATCACACGTCCATCGTTGTCGGTTGAATAACTGCTTAATTATAGTGTTACATTACATAACAAACATTTTAATCAACGATTGTAGACAATTGACGTGCCCCACGGATTTATTTTAGTCTAGTCTATGCATATGTTTATAATTCCCACGACTGTATCTATTTTATTATTTTTTGGTTTTTAGTACATTTATCTTTAACATTGCAATGTATGTTTAACATAAAACCGTTTAACTTAAAAAGTTTTTTTACCTATTTTTTTCACATTCAATTTCATTCGTTGTTTGCTGATATTTCAATTTATAGCAACCATTACTAGAACTAAAACTGAAATTTATTTGCGGTGTCATTGGTTAAGCCAGTTGTGTCGGATTACCATTTCATCGGATCATGATAGTGAGAGAACCAGGTACACCTGTATTTGCGCGCATTTTGTGGGCTAACATAATCCCCTGTACTGGTTAAACAAGTCGTAATTGGCGACCGTGATTGAATCGACCAGAAGGGCATTACCAATATTTATTTTGACGATAGAAGCTGTGTGATGACAGTGTCAATGCATTTTACGTCTTCTCTTTCAGCAGGAATTATAGAGCTCCCTGACGAAGCTCTGTGATCTTTCTGCTTAGCAAATGTAAAGTTTGTTTGCAAAAACTCTTTTGTAGAATCCAGAAGTAGACAGTGACAAGCTGTCGATGATGATGATGCTGAAAGTGAAACGTCTGACAACGTCTTACATTACGTAAGGTATCTGAGGTATCGGCAATGTGGAAAGCGAGTAGTCGCGGACAGATAACAACCGCAGCGCACAACACGGCAGAAATTGGAAACAAATGCGGATGATGCAAACCCAAGTATTTATTATTATATTCTTTTTACAGTAAAACTATTGAATAAATTGCGCTTAAATAATGCCAATAATACTATTTTAATCTGTGGTTTTATTTAAATTTGCAAAGAAAATTATAATGTTTACATTGTTATTATTTGACAGCTTCCGCAAATGTTGTAAACGCTACGCGTCGCCACCGTCGCGCACATAGCCAATACAAGCTAGACTATTTCATTTCCATCCTATCACTATAGCAAAATACCGTTGTGAAAATTATCTTAAATTCGGACATGATACCAGCGTCCACATAACTACTCGTAACGATTGTAATAAATGGCCAAGATACTCATAAAAATGACAATGGGTCTTTCAAATAAAACTCTTTTCGGCCAATGGTACCTAAAACAATATATTTCTACGTGAGACATCGCTATTCTAGTAGAAAGAGAAAGAACACACGTACTAACACTAAATAATATTTTCCTTGGCCCGCCTAGTGGTCGACTAATTTGGTGAGAAAAAGTTTACGACCTTAATGCTAAGAAAATAACTTTCTTTTTCGTCTAAGCTCTCGGGACTTTTTCTGGAGATTAAAAATTCAGACGATGAAACGTTTTTGAAGCGCTAAGTTTAAAATTCAAGTGTGGTTAGTTAATTAAATAATAACTAAACTCTATTTTACTAGCAGTGTAGTTTATGTTTTAATTTTGTTTGTAATTTTATCTCACATGAAAAGACGTTTATAATTTTAGTGTAGATGACTAATTTTTATTTTAATACCTGTCTGGTAGATTATGTAAAAACATTAAACACGGATTTTTTGTTATGGAAACGAATAATTTCGAAAATATATTGATTTGAAATATTGCATGACGTCACTTTTGAGTACGATTTATACTCTAAAATGGCGTAGCTACCTCCCACTCCTAAACTTTGATTCGTTTTATCTAAGTATTGTTTTCTTATACGCCAATTTAAAAAAAAAATACCTATCTAGTATTTTTTCATTACTTAACTGACGGAGTAATTCGATTTTTAATTTTCATATCCTGTCATCATCTCTATTTGGTGGCCATAAAACTACTTTTCCTTTTTTAATTTTATGTCCTGTCTACCAGTGTGTAGCCAGTTATATGAATATTTAAGAAAACAGGTTTCATACTGCTAACTGACTAAAACACACATCGTTACGTAACGAGGTTAGTCTTAGAAAGTTTTAATGGAACGTTAGATGGCCTTGAAACTCCGCAATAGAGCTTATACGGAAAAAGATATAAGTTTAACTAAATCCAGCTTTGTAAGCTTTTTGATATTAATGTGGAAGCTTTCTCATATAATATTAAAATTTAATAGGTTTAAAACCTGTGAGGATTAAGCTCACCTTGCTATTGGAAAATATGAAGAAAATCTTGTTGAATTTATTGAAATGAGACCACGGTATCTTGTCATAAATCATACTAAAAACTCATTATTTTATACCTTTTTTGAAGACTGAACTTACATTCTATATTTTAACCTAAACAGATAGATTAGAATAGAACTAACAATGAAAAAAAAATTCAACTACAAATCAACAGAACTGTGACCATCACCAACTTGAAAATCAAATCACAGCTCAAAACTAATTCAACTATAACGAACAAAACAGAATTAAAGCAGATTCACATTCACTGCGTATCAACCGTCAGAATCCGCGATTGCGTTCTCGAAAGGGTTAAATTGTGCAAATGTCAAACGTGTGGTCCATTGGACCGAACAAAGGTAGCTGTGTTATTGCGCGTCCCGCTGCCATTGTGTCCCGGTGAGCTAGTGACATCCCTAGGGTTGTAACAACAGTTAATTGTTCTGGACTTCATATTAATCTAGCGTTTGATATTGTTCTTTGAAATACGATACCTAAATGAAATTTCAATTAAGTTAATGGATATAATTTGACTATTTAAATTCAAAACCCTCGTTTATAAGTTCCATGAGTCCAAACATCTGAATTGTTTCCAAAACTCCATACTATTATTGAACGTAATAAAAAATACATGCGTACGTAACCTCACGCCTGTCTCCCATGGAGGTAGGCACAGACTAAGAAAAGCCAATTCGTACGATTCTATTCTGTGTGATAAAAAATCAGAAAACTAAATAACGCTTTCATACGTTGCGTCATTTGACGAATGCATGCGTACTTCACAAACAATAGGCGGTCTACAAGTGACAAATGCATAAACACAATGAAACTGTCCACGAAGCGGCAACGTTACGCCTATCGTTTTTGACGATTGCATGCAATCGTCAAATGA